GATGTGTTGAAGGTGGAGTGGTGTTTTTCCCTGCGGGCCGTGAAGGCAGCACAGAGCCTCTCCGCAGACACTGAAGGGTTAAAGGTGTAATAGGATGAATGGATCTTGTGGTGAGCAGCATCTGATTACACGGAGACGCCAGTAGGCACCGCAGGGGGAAGAAGCTCCTCACCTCCAGCACAAGCAGCTTTTCATTCCCTCAGAACAGGACAAACTTTTTTCCTTCCTTTTCGTTTTCACCGCACAGAAAGCGGATCCAGATCCTGGTTCCCACCGAGCGGCAGCAGCAGCAGCAGCAGCGGGACTCGGACGGTTCGTCTGCGGGGTTTTGGTGCAGCGGAGGGCGGCTGCAGGTCGGAGCTTCTCTCCGTGTGCACGGCTGAGGGGGGCCGAGGGCTGGAGCTCAACATGTCGCAGTTTGTGGAGGCTTGAAGGAGGATTTTTACGGGAGGAGCTGCGGGACTCGGAGTGTTCCTCCAGCGGGGAGGGAAGCAGGTAAGAGGCTCACCTGTCCGCCTGCGGCCCCGCATGGAGCCGCTCCGGGTGTTTTAGCTGCTTTTTTAACGTGCTGAAAGTGCACCCTGATGCGTTTGATGTGCGTTTAATGTCGGTGTTTTGACTTTATTCTGGGTTTTCAGTGCCATAACTTACAGAATATAGTGAGTTTCTACATGTTGGTGCAGTAACATGTTGTTCTTTCACCAAAACTAGTCAAACCCTGAAAGCCTCTGATGCCAAACTGTATTAATTCACATCTTAAAGCTGCATCAAGCAGATTGTGACCAACAGAGGGCAGAAAAACTCCCAAACTAACTTTAAAAATGTCAGAAATCAATTCCTCTTTCACTTCCAATAATGATTTAATCTTTGATTAAATCTAGACTTTGGACATTTAAATGAACTTTGTGTCCAAATATAAGTAGCAGAAAAACTCCCAAACAACTTTAAAAATGTCAGAAATCACTCCTCACGTCTCTCATTTTCTATAAAAATACGAAAAAATGTATTGAATATAGACTTTGGGCACTTTTGCTGTTGCTAAACTGTAGTTTTTGCATCTGTAGCCGTGCTTTGTGTTAAAATGTAATGAACAGAAATCTAAATGTACCACCGAACCGGAGCTGCTGGTGACATTTATCTGCCTTTAAACCGACCGAAGAAGAAGAAACTGACACAGAATTAAAAGGGCAAAAGTCAAAGCACCAAAAAAAAATGTAGAAAAAGTTTCAGAAATGTGTCTCTCATGTTGTTTCAGTGTGTAGTGTTAGTTCCCTCATAGATCTGATGTTTTCATTTAATTATGTTTTCAGTTTGTCATTTCTCGCTGTTGGATTTTTGACCAACAGGGGGCAAAAAACCTCCCATAATCCAACGTACCCACTGGACAGACTCATTGCTGGTAGCCAACTGTAACTTTTGCATCAATAAAGGAGCTTTGCATTCAAATATAGTAAAAATTTTAAATAAGAAACTTGCATTCGCGGCAAAGAGCTCCAGTCAGACGATGTACAAATATGAGTTTTATTCATCCCAGCTTTAGACACCTGGAAACGCTCTTAAATAGTTTTTTGTTGCTTGTATACGTTTATTCAGGTTTTTAAACGTCACTTCTGACCTGTGTGGCGCCCCCTGGTGGTCTGGAGGTCTGCTTCAGGTGAAACTGAAGTGAAACCGACACATTGGAAGAGTGATTTGTCACTTCAGGCTTGTAAAAGTAGAGATTGTGGAAAACAGTTCAGCAGCTCACTGTTTGTCGTCCTGTTTTTTACGACGTTCAGCTCGGCTTCTTTTTAAAAGACGTTCCTGGATAATTACAGTAACGTTATTTCATGCCGGTTATTTAACGTGAACTCTTTAAAGCACTGATGTTTTCTGACTTGCTCTCTGAAAAGGCGACTCCTCCGGCTTTAAAATGAGTCTGAAGTGCTTTTGTGACTGTGACGGCTCCTGATGGAAAAGGAGAATCATCAGACTGGAGCTCCTCTGACTCCTGTTAAAGGCTTCAGGTGAAAAGCTGCAGCTTGGCAGGTTCAGACAGAATCCTCCTCCAGGCCGCGACTCTCATGGAAACATGAAATACGTGAAACGTCGACTCCTACGCAGTCGGTCGGCTCCTCTCATTGGTCCGCCCGTCTGTCAGTGGCTTTTTAAAAAATTATAACTAAAGAAAGCAGCTTCGGATGTGAAGAGCTGCAGGTCAGTCAGGGACACAAGGATTATTCCTCTGTGGTGCTCAGCGGGAGTTTGATGTTTTATTTTTATCTCGTCTTCAGCTGACTGGAGGAGAAATCTGCTGGAATTTACTGATAATCTGGTATTTATTATTTACAGTTAATTGATTGTTTAAGGGCTCAGTGACAGTTTTCACTTGCTTAGAAGTAAAAAAAGACGATAAAGTAACTTCAACTCTGCGAAAACGTCAACATTTTACAACACGACACTAAAAACCTTTTAGAAAATAGATTTAATTACACGTAAAGCAAATCTAAATGAAAACAATGGAATACAAGTTGTTTTGCATTAAAAAGAAAGCACGAAAATATAACAAATACATACATTTGAATTTAATTTACTTATAAATTTACCTGCAGGTAAATGATAAAAGGGTTTGCTTCAATCAGCAACTTTTCAAGACGCTTAAAGCTCATTTTTATTTTATGAATCAATTAGCCGGCTGATTTAATTTAATTAGCCGACTCACTGATAACAGAAGTGAGTCCTGTTGGCTCATTTTCATCTGTTGCTTCTTCTTGATTATGTTCTTGATTAATCCGTCAATAAAACCTGACGAAGCTTTGTTCAGAAAGCTTCAGAGATAAGACGATGCTTTATTGATTCCAGCAGCAAAACTGTCGCCAACATCAGCAAAACATAAACTAGAAATACACAAAAGTGCTGTTAATATGCAGATTCTTATGTGTGTAGACAAACTAGAGGACGCAGGATCCTCTGGATGTAGAACATAACCGTATTTTACAGGATTATTCAATGAGGAGCAAAACTTTACTGTTACGCAGATCCTTTCATGACTAGAAAATACTGATATTGCACAGATTTCTCTATTTGTCGACATAAACTGGTGTCATACAGTCTTCTAAATATACAAAATAACACTAATGCACAGGACTGATGTTATATTAGCTGCAAAGTCTCACACTTAAAGACCAACAACCATCAGTTTTTGGGGCTTTTTTGCTTAAAAACAACTTAAACCATCAATATTTTGTCGAAACAGTTTCTTTTTGCTGGTTTCTTCTCAGTTTTTTAAGAATCCTGTTGTCAGACACGTTTCGTCAAAGCTGCGTTTTGGCAGAAAACCAAGTGTTACACTTTCTAGAAAGCTCCGTGCAGCCGGCCGTGGACAGCAGGCTGGGCTTAGTCTTGTGCAGTGCGACGTGCAGCAGCAGCAGCAGCAGATTGTGCTTAGCTGGCTGCAGGTCTGCGAGCGGGAGGAGCTGCAGCGGAGGCGGCGCCGGTCCGACACGGCTGCAGTGATGTGGTTCTGGTCAGAAGCCGGCCTGGAGAGCAGCTGTGAGTGTGGGAACAAGGCTGAGTTGTCCTTTTCTTCCACTCTGCTGCTGCTGCACTCCGCCTCCCTCAGATCTGCTTCGGTTTGTTTCTGCCAGAGAGACTCGCGTGTCCTGATGTCGGCCACAGAGGCTCAGCTTCAGGCAGAGGAACTCATCACAGTAGAACCAGGCTCACATCTGAGTCGTACTGAACGCTGCTCTGTGACTGACACCTGGAGAAGTTCTGCTGGTTTAATCTTCTAGTTTGAAACATTTCCACACTGCAGACGTTTCACCTGCATCGTGGCTCAAATGATTTCATCCCTCATATGAGACCAAACGATTCAGGTTTGTGCTTAATTAGGCAGAGTGTTTAAAGGCTAAGTGACATTTTCCACTTTATTTGACATGAAAAAGCCTAAAAAATAACCTTAAATGTGCAAAAATATAGTGTTCTCTTGATTTATTTGAATACATGACATAAAACAACAATGAAAACAAAGCATAAAGACGTTGGAATTGCTTAAAAATACTTAAAATGTGCATGCAAATAGCTGCTATAAAGGGCTTTTTTAAGTCACTTTTTGCTCATTTTGTTCTTTATAATCAATTAATCGGCTAATTTCATTTCATTTACTTACGAATTTCAACAAAAGTGAGTCCTGTAAGCGGATTTTCATCTGTTGCTCCTGGCTGAGGATTTTATTGATATTAATTAGTCAATAAAAAGTAAGAAAACTGTATTTCAACAGCTCAGACGGTGAGATAACATTAGATTATCTCCTATAAACCTCCACAGAGGAAACATTTACAGTGTTATAGACATTGTTTAAAAAAAAACAAACCATTAAAATCAGGATTTCTTTCTTGGTATCAAAGCGGCTGTTTTGAACACAGCAGCTCTGTTACTGACGCCTCCAGAAATGACAAATAGCTGCTGGATTACTTTCGTTTTCTACTCTGAAACATCTCTGCTGGTTCTTTCTGGTTGCTCACATTATAGAACCAGCACATCACATTCCTCTTTGCTTTCTTTTTTTTTCCAGCTGTCCAGTAAGGGCAAAAAAAAATCTTTGAAAAAAATAATCTTTAGAAAATAATCACTGGCTTTGATGCATTAAAGGATCATTTATTTCAAGCTGGTGACCATTAAACTGGAGCTCTAATCCATCCATGTGTTTAACTGTCCAGCCTCAGACGTGTAAACAAGTCGGCGTGTGGATTAATGTTTACTGTGTTTATTGAAACTGCAGCAGAGAGATAACGCTTTTTACCCTGAATACGCTGTTTTTGTGCCTCATCATCCCCAACAAAGGTGGAAAGTTGGTACAACCCACAGAGACACAATAAAGATGAAGCAGCTGGTTGGTACGTTTAGATCTTCAGTATGTGCTGGATTCCCAATGACTCCCACCACATGACTTTACTGAGCACATGTGGAGCCTGAATGTCAAAAAACTCAGTGTCTTGTAAATAAAATTAAAGTCCAACTTTATCAAAAAACAAAAAGTTTGAGTAAATGATGTTCTATTGGATTGATTGTTTTTGTAGATCAGTTGCAGGTTTTCTTTTTTGAACAAGCAGAAAAAGAAAGTTGCAGCATGTTTGAGTGAATTCGGTTGACTTCACATCTCTCTTGTGACCATTGCACACGTCGCAACGTCGATTCTAAAATGTATTGTGCAGCTTTAGTCGTGTGAATCACCTCCCGTTTACGTTTACTTGTCAAACTTGTCAGCGTGCACAGAAAAGAGATGTTCACTCAATTTGATGAAAACATCTTGGATCAGAATTGCTGACTTTAAATTTAATGGAAAAAAACACCAGTCTGAGTTAAAATATGCTTTGAAGGCCCAAAAAAAACCCACCGATATTTCAACACCCAACATCTGATCAAACCTTCTCCTAATTACTAATAATAACATTTTACTTCTAGTTTGCAATCAAGAAGTCAACGTCACACCTGAGTGATTTACTTCTATTATG